TGTATGCGCGCTGGTTGACCTGTGACTGATAAATCCCTCAGCCAATAACACTGTTCATTCTCTGTGCCTATTAGAGCTCTTTATTTTGACTCCTCCCACAGTCTGCTTTCTTTTTTCTTTTTTTTTTTTTACTTTGTTTTGTTACATCTTATGTATGTTGTGCTCTCTTTCAGTTATGTACAAATGTACCAGAAATATTTATTTATAATGCCGAAGAGTAATTCATTTTCATTCTTTATTTTTTATACATTTTCAACCTTTTTTTAAAGAGAAAAAAATCCCTCTATTAGAGAGACGCAGGGTTTCACCCAAACCCCCACATCCCAGCCGCACCCCCATAGGCGAGTTCAAGACCACGATCTGTGAGCGATTCGGCAGTCGGGACCCACAAACACACGTGATCCCATACAGACACTGTACCAGGAGGTGTCCACACGTCATCTCATGTTCCCAGCAAAGGGAGGAGTAGATTAAAATGACATTGTATTTATTAAACATTGTTTTAACATAAAGAAACTTGACTTCTCCTGTATTCAGAATAATGGTTGTCGCAGCTTGCAGCAATTTCACCTCGACTCATGAAAAAAAAGTGTGTGTGTGTATATATATATATATATTTCGTTATGTATATATTCATATATTTACATATAGACACAATATAAATATAAAAATCTATATATGAATGTAGATATACACTATTTTTTTCCATAAAAATTTGCCAAAACTACCTAACACTTACCATTATTTGAAAAGACTTATATATATAGTTTTTCCATATATAATAGTTTAATTTAAAGAAAATTAGACATTTTAAATTTCTTTAAACATGATCTGCAAAACTGTTATAGCACAGGGAAATAAATTGTATTTTAATTAATAAAAACTTGCCCTAAAAAAAAAGGTATTCATATATATTAATATATTCAAAAAGTAAAGTTATTTCAGGGCAAGACCACCCTGATTGTAAAGCCTAACGTGATTGGTTGTAGTGTGAACATGCTACGATTGGTCAGCTCAACGTGGCCGTTATCTGATTGGCTTGAGTAAACGGTGGGTGGAGTCCACTTATTTGTGGATTTGTCTGCACTTTGACGCTAGAAGTGATTCATAATCCACAGGTGCGTGAGGGGATTTACAAATGCACAAGAACCGATTCACAAATGCGTGCAGCAATTTAAAAATGCACAGAAAGCGGTTCACAAATAAATGCCAGGCAGAGTTGTGTTTGTGACATAAAACACATTTGTAAATAGTAAGAAATATAGAGCTGAGTATCATCAGCATGACAGTGAAAACGAATACCATGCTTCCTAATGATATCTCCTAAGGGTAGCATGTACAGCAAGTGAACAGCAACGGTCCTAGTACTGAGCCTTGTGGTACGCCATACTGAACTTTTGATTGAAGAGATGTCTTGAGTTTTATAAAAAAAAAATATTACTCTTTACATTTTGTGGATCTTAATCTATTTATTTGTGAATTTGATACATTTTTGTTAATCTCTTTACATTTGTGAATCTCAATCTATTTATTTGGAAAAATGCAACAATTCTAACCCTATACAATACAGCTGAAATGCACTCAAGAATATAAAACAGTTATCCAAAAATACATTTATTTTGGTCAATCTATATAGCAATAATATAAATTTACAAGTAGTTGCAAAGTAGCACTCTGTATCATCATCTCCGTCATGCAGCTGAGCCGCAACATGCAATTCAGGTTCACAATGTCTGTGTATCAGATGAACCTGTTTAGAAACCTTGAATGTCTGTTTCAGTACTGCATTCGTTTCCGGGCCATGTAAGCGTTCGTTACCTGACTCATAACGACCAGAGCGCACAGAACCGGGCAGAGGACGGCCAGGTACCAGAAGTACCCGCTCACACTGGCACTGAACCACGATGAACACAGTCCGAGAAACAAGCTGACGCTGCCCAGCAGGTACGTGAGTAAACCGGAGGTGGCGTGGTAGCGCTTCAGTTTGGCCAGCGACCAGCCTTTGGTCAGTTTGGGATAGAGGAGGGGAAGTCCTCCGAGCGACTGCAGCCCGACGACAGACACCGTTATCACACCGACCAACCCGTGCCACGACGTGAAGTGTGGCTTGTCGTTGAGGTTCTTGTTGTAAAAGATGGCGCACAGGCCCGCGGTCGCGCAACACACGCACAGACACTGCAGGATCCAGTGCAGGCGGCCTTTAGTTTTGTGCTTCAACTTCCTGACGGGAGACGAGTAGGGGTTGAACAGTAGAACGGCTTCAGTCATGAAAAAGGAAAACTGGATGGGAGCAAGAAAATCTTGTGAGAGGATAGTATTGCGTGACAAAAAGCAAACTTAAAATTCATTTACATGCAAAACATTCAAGGTCTGTATGTTTTGCGTCACACTCACACCAAGAGTCATCAGGAACGGATGCCATGAGAACAGACCTGTAAGCAAACAGAGATCAGTGTTATTTATATACCACTATAGTATTTATTAATAATGGAATGTGCTTCTTTTATTTTCATTTGATCGAAAATATATTTCTATTTAGCTTATATCTAATTGTATTTCAGTTAGTTGCCAAGGCAACATTTCTAATTAACCTTTACTCGAATATTTAGATTTGATTTCAGCTTTGTTTCAATTACCAAATAAAACACATTTTAATGACTTTAGTTAACAAGAAACAAGACGTTTATTTATTTTTATTTAGATTTAAACATCATTATAATGTTTTTTAGTTATATATTTAAAATGTTCATTACAGGTATTTTATGTATTTGTATCTAAAATATACTACAAGCAAGTGAAAATATCAATATTGTATTTCATAATATTACAATATATATATTTATTTTTATAAATTATTTGTTTTTATTATTACAAAGTGTATTCAATTATATTTGATTATTTTACACAAAACACATGTATATATATATATATATATATATATATATATATATAGGTTTGACAATCGATTTGACAATACTATATATATATATATATAAAACATCTAAAAGTTTGTAATATATATATAAAATAAAATAAACAACTGAAATATTTGTATAAATTATAGAACCTATATTTTCATTATTATTAATGGTGTATTATGATGATTTGATAGAATAATTTATATTTTGCAAAATAAATAACTATATACACAAACTTTTGTGTTGCGATTCATCGATTTTTACAGCACATATACACACATATATATATATATATATATATATATATATATATACAAACATTATACACTATACATAAAAAAGTATCCATCTTTTTGCGCATACAACCATTACAACATTTATATAATCTACTTTCATAATTAATAGTATAGTATATTTGCACGATGTTATTTTTTCATTATTTTAAATGAATAAAACTTTTCTTGTCAGAAATAAATTAGAAAGCATTTCAAAATGTTCGATCAATAGTATCAAACAACATATAAATTCACTACAGGAAACAATCGTTTACTGACCGTCTACTGACAGCCCAGATCAGTGAGAGTCTGAGACGACGGATCACTGGTGTTTATTGTACTCACTGGATCCAGGTTTGGCGAGGACCGTGATGAAGCCAGTGAACACAGCGCACAGCACATGAGTGGACACTCCGCACACTATCCTGCTGTAGCGGTACAGCTTAGGCTCCGACTCGTGATGGACAGTCATATTATATTCTACTGGCTCTCTCTCAAATCTATTCCATACAGAGTTACATACACAAACAGCACACTGAGACTAAACTAACTCAACCCATTTGAAATGCTCGCAATCTCAACAACGAACTCTGATCATTCAAGGTTTCCGGTTACAGATACAGATCAACATGCCACAATAAAAGTCCCATATCGTTTTGAAGCAAAATCTGATCTGATTAGTTCAGATTTGTCATACAAAATAAATATGATTTATATAGTTTGAAAACCGACTTCGATCAATTGAAATGAATCTTGTTTGCGCCAAAGTGTATTTTCTTCTCTAAATTATATAAATGTATTTTATTTTGACAATAAATGTAAGTAATTTCTTCCAGATTGCCTCTGTTCTAGAAATCCATTTGCTCATGCTGACGTGGGATTTTGTTTGCATGCATGTCTTTCCGTCTTTTGACCTGCAGGGATCACACTGGATTTTTTTTTTTTCAGATTCCACAAATAAATAAATACTTCACTGGTTATTGTTATCTGTGTCTGTGCAGAATTTATTTTAAAATATTTTTTTTCCTGTCCATAAATACAGAGGTCAATTGTGTTTTTAACTTTAATAGTATGGTTTTTGGTTATGGTTTTGTATTTTATTTATTTTTAGATTAAATGTTTTTTGTTTTTGTTTTATATTATGTTTTCCTTTTCAGAATGACATTTTTATCTTTAAAAATAGTTTGTATTTTTGTATTTATATTTGGTTTGTTTAGGGAAATGTCATGAAATGACTCAGTTAATTGGGGAATCCGATGACCGTAACAAAATCAGACATTCGCAACCAATTACTGTTTATTGTCCTCTATACGGAGCAGGATTTCTTCGTGTCCTGTGACCTGCTGGCCCTCATCCAGACTGAACGGAGGACAGAAACCTTCTTATCTCATCTGGGTCTTCACAGACCTCCTTCCTGATGATACAAGACATCCGCTATCAGACCAAAGAGAGAGAGAGAGACTTCAATGTTAAATCAAGCCTATGGACCTCTGCCAACTCCCAGTTTGGAGCAAGTACGTACACTAGATTTCTAGTCATTGCACTAAAATTTTTACAGGAAAATGGTATCTTCCATGTTCACTTTCCAATACTTTAAAGGTTATTTATTACACTTGCATGACTCTGTAGAAATATTCTGAAGATTTATCAAATAACAACTTAAATTTCTGTCTGTTCCCCACACCTATACCTTTAGAAGACTTGAAATGTATATCATACAAGTTGTATGAATGAACCACTTTGTTTGGAAAAGAGCTACAAAAGATAATTTTGAGAGCGCTGTCCCTTTAAGAATGAGTTTAATTTTAAACGAGGTTTAAACCCCGCAGGCGTGGGTTCAAAATATGAAACCCGAGGGTCCACCAAATGCTTCAGGAAATGATGTCTGCTCTGCCTTTGCCGCTCTTAAATAGGACAGATCGTGCTGGATTAAGCGTTAATCTGCGTTAGTCTCCGGCGCATGCGCACTATCTCGCGCTAGCGGTCGCGCTGTACAAGGTGCGCGTTGTTCTGACTGAGGGTAAACTCATAATCGACCCGGTTTCGAGCTGCGACCGCGAATGACGCCCAACAGTGAACCGAAAATCTGAGGAGACATCTGCCTGCCAGAGGAGCATCATTTCCACTTTTGTTTGGGTGTAATGGAAAATGTTTTCTCTGTTTTGCGCAATCCCTTGCGTTATCTCCTCTCAAACACGCGATGCGCGCGCAGATTACGCGCTGTTTGAGACTTCAAGAGCGGATTTGAGGAAACTGACCCGTTTACTGTCAGTTTGAGGCTCTTCTGACGAAGAAGTTTTTGGTTTAATAAGGTAGGCTGGTCCTTTTAAGCAGTTTCTACAAGAGGTTCAAATACAAGTAGGCTACAAATAATCTGACACTAACCATCAAATAAAAGATGTTATAGCCTACTTTCTGGAGTACGCCTATGTAGCGTTTTTTATATTTCACGTCAGGTCAATGACGTCGAATTGCTAATCTAATCTGTGAGAGATTATTTTGTGTTATTTGTTTGGAATGAATACTACAACATTTTATTTATGCATTATTTCTTAATCTGTTTGTTATTCATTCTCTTTATTTTCTATTGTATTATATTCTCTTGGTTTGCTTGTTTATGCATGTCTCATTCTGTGTACGTTATTTAATTGGATTTGAAGTCAAGACATTTTGACATCTAATCTCGATTGTATTAATTATTTCATTCGTTTTAATTAAATTAATTAAATCGAACACAAATTAATTTAGTAATTATGTATTTTATGCTTTTATTTAAAGGTTTACATTCAAGAATTTATGTGTTTTACATTAATTGTTGCGATTTATTTGCTTATTCTCTTATTTGCATATATTCAAATATTTGCATTAATTGCCAACTCAGTTGTTCTAATCTGTTATGTTCTATTCTATTCTATTCTATTCTATTCTATTCTATTCTATTCTATTTGTCCATTATTTATTAGTCTATATTATGTGCTTTTTTTTTTTTTTTGCTATGCTTTTGTGACCCAGTTTTACGCTTCTTTCTATTCTGGTTGGTTGTTCAGGCCTTTGGGCTTCTCAGGATTAGGACAGTAGCCAAATGAGGTGCCGTACAACAAAAATGGTCCAAAAACACCCTTAAGTGAATTTTCCTCCTCACGCATACTGATCAGCCTCCATATAGATGTTGTCAAGTGGTTTTGTAAAGGACAGATTAGTTTGCACAAACCCGTTGGAATGTTAAAACCCCATAATTTCCTGTCTGTAGACTTTCTGTCTGATGTTTAAAGAAGCTTTTACCCTATACAGACTTAATATTTAATTCTTTTCAACAAATATAAAGGGTCTCTCTTTTATTAAAAATATATAGGCGTAATATAGCTACAAAAAATAATTATAATGGATTTATATTATTAAAATAGATTTGTAATATATAATATTTATATTACTTACTGTATTATTATTATAATATATCATATTTATATAATTTATATATATATATAATGATAGTAAAACAAATTAATGGAGTCCTTTGAAGATCAGAGAGATTATAACTGTCCACATTTATCTCACAATATATCGTAATCTAATCTAATCTCTGTTGTTTTTCCTCAGATTGAGCCAGATGGTGCTGAAAACTGAATCAAGAGGACATCTCGCTGAAAACATCATCATCTCTTTTGTATTAATATTGTACGATCGACAAAGCGATCCATGTTTGTTCTCAGCCTGGATGTGCGAAGTCCGTTGACCTGGTTCGGAGTAAACCGGGTCGTTCTGAAGTGATCTACTGAGCCATGCTTTTTAGCCTCCCACATCCCCAAGATGGCAAAATGTGAACTCATTGAATTACAGGACTTGACTCCGGACGACCGCATCGAGTTAGCGCCCCCTAGCGCCCCTCCGCCCACTCTGGAGAGGTGGAGCAAAGAGAAGGTGGTGCGGATGGTGGGGGAGCGCGTGCGTCTGGAGGACCCCGACTGGCTGACGTGTAAACCCGGACGGGGTCACGACCTCCAGCCCTGCAGCCAGACGCAGCTCAGCTGGTGCGACCTCTGCGGGGAGTTTATATGGGGCCTGTACAGGCAGAGTCTCCGCTGCACACGTGAGTCTTTTACCCAGATGATCGGGATATTTGTCTTCTGCTGTGTAAATGTTTCTGTCAAGACAATCTGGCCCTCAGAGACTGTACGCAAATAGGAAAAGGATGTTTAGGCAGGGATTAGTTTAGACAGTGTCTTATGTTGGATAGAGATTGTGTGGGTGTGTGTTTGTTACGAAATGTAAGAATTCAAACAGCAAATCAATCAGTAATGTTATTAGTTTATTTATGGACAGCAAATAAATAAGACAGAAGAGTATAGAATAGAATAGAATAACCTTATACAAATTAGATGTGAAAATATGTGCAATTGATTTTAATTCACGCAAAATGGAATAAACAAATAAATAAATGTTCTAATAAATGTATAATACATACATGCTTAAATAAATGTATAACTGAGGGAGGGCATAACAAAATAAACAATTTAATTATACATTAATTTTGTGTTTGATTTAATTTAGGTAAAATTAATAAATTAGGTTATAGCATACAGATTAGATATGTGCAATTTTAAATGAAAATTAAATAACATTAGAATAAATAACAAACTGCTTACAAACCAACAGAATAGAGTACAATATATAAAACACCTTGGCAAATGCCTGGCAACCTTCCAGAATATCTTGTAACAGTGAGATTTGCAAGTTCAACCCACATTTTTGTCACAAAATTAAAAATATCGTTTTCTCTTTTTCTTTCTCAATTTGCCAAAAACATCACTTTAAACGTGTATTACCAGCATGTTTTTACACTTCGTAAAGCTTTTAAAGTGGCTCGGTCAAACAGACCACAGATTAATGATTTATTCATCCAATGACCCAGAACATACATTCACCATTACCACCAGGTGGCGCTGTAGACTCAAAGCTTGACCCCTCTGTCATATGTTCAGCTTGTGCCACTAAAATCAGACTGCTGCTCTGTTAAACCGTAGTGCTGAGAACTATATTTAACTCTAGAAACAAACACTGGATGTGTGCTTTTGGTTTCTGAAGGAATGTTTGTGTCTCTTCAGACTGTAATTACACGTGTCACTACCGCTGTCACCCCTTCATTCAACTGGACTGCAGCTCCAACTGTGACGCCATCCGTGAACAAACGAACTACTGCGAGGACACGATCGAGACGGACACCAATGTGGTGAGAGAACGACTGCTAGAGAGGACACGTCACCCGTAAATGACATGAAATAAGAGGAAGTTGTTTATGTATGTGCTAGTGATGGGCGCTTTCGTATGGAAGCCCATTTCTGCCACATAAGAAAACAATCATTATCACAAAAAGTCGAAATTATGACTTAAAAAGTTGCAATTTGTAAGAATAGAAATGATGACCTTGTCACAATTATTACATTAATCAGAATCATGAGATAAAAAGTCGAAATTATGAAAGAAAATCATAAGATACAAAGTCGAAATTATGACATACAAAATCAGAATTATGAGATAAAACTTTGAAATTATGACATAGAAAGTCATAATAATGAGATAAAACGTTGAAATTATGACATAAGTCAAAATTAAGACTTAAAAAGTCATAGTTGTGAGATAAAAAGTCAAAATGATGACAAAAAATCACAAGATAAAGATTCATACTAAATCGAAATGATGACTTTGTTACAATTAGTACATTAATCAAAATTATGGCTTAAAAATAAATAATTATGACAGAAAATCACGAGATAAAAAGGTACAATTATGACAGAAAATCATAAGAAATGTTGAAATTATGACAATTATAGGATAAAAAGTCGAAATTGTAATAGAAAGTCATTATAAGATAAAAAAGTAATTCCTGATATAAGTTAAAATTGACATACTAAACCAAAATGATGAGATAAAACCTTAAAATTATGACTGTCACAATTATGACATAACTTGAAATTATGACTTAAATGAATAATTATTTGATAAAAAGTTGAAATTATGACGTCACAATCTCGATTATTATCTCTTTATCTGTCATAATTTCGATAATTAATTCAAAGTTTCTAAAAGCTTTGTTTCCCCATCACTAGCATGTGTGCATAAATTCAACGTAAAACATAATTGAAGTAGGTCTGAGTCTCGGCTCGCCATATGCCACCAGTGCTGATTTTATTACGTCCTACACACGCGCAATTTACGACAACCACACAATAAAGCAGCTGCTCGCTTTTTATCATTTCAAATGTGACAACTAAATACGTTACTTTTAAAACATTCTGGACATTTATTGACCAAATGTGTCTATGTAGAGTTGCATGGAAGGTTTTAGTTGATCATTTAAGGTGGTAATCACCGTGATGATCTGCGAAGGACAGATCGGACATGGATTTTTCCATGTTAGTGAATCTTGAGTGCTGATGTGAAAGTGATATGGGGGAGGGTGGAGGAGGGGACAGCTGGAGAAATGAACTAATCACGCTTCACAATGGACCTTTTACCTAATTACAAATGTGTGAATCATCTTAACCTCTCATTTGGGCATGTAAAATTTGCGCAAAGGTCTTTCTACTTGTACATTTTTTTTAATAAGACTTTACCCAGCGGCACCATATGAAACATTTATATACATGTATATCCTCCTGAGACCCAGCGATTCTTTTCTGTTCACTATGTTATTTTCTGCACTTCTTTTCTTTAATTCTAAATTATTTTGTTACTTGGTAATATTGGATATAATGATGATAATAATAATTGTTATTATTATTTAATATACATTTGTAAAAAATAAATCTATACTATTATTTACTAATATAAATATACTATTTAAAATACATGTTATGTTTTATATATAACAAACATTGCATATTATTATATGTCATTTTTAAAGTAATTAATATATAATTATATTTAGATGTAATTATATATTTCTTTGTCAACTGTAATGATGTCATACCAAATACTTGTATGTTAATTGGCAATACTTCAAATAATAATAATATTTAATGTGGATATGTACATAATAGTATAAATGTATTCAAAATATATTTATACAGTTATTTACTATTATAAATGTACCATTTAAAAATATTGCATATTACTATATGTAATTTTGACAATTATTGTATAATTATTTGTAGATGTGATTTATATTTATATATTTTTATTTTTATTTGTCAGCTGTAATGATTTATCCATTTTTATACATAATAGTATAAATGTATTTAAAATACTATTATTTACATATATTTTAAATAAATATGTGTATAATATTTTTAATTGTTATACCATTAAATGTATATATAATTTTATTTTTATAGTTAGAAATTGTGTTGTTCTGCTGTGTCTCGGAGGGAGGGGCCAGGATTGAATGGAGGGAGCCGCCTACGTGCAGTAAATTCAATCCGGGGGGCGGAGCAAAGCGGAAGGGTGGGGTTTCGAATCACGCCTAACGGTTGCATTGCATCCCGGTTGCACGAGGTCAGTCAGTCAGACAGCCACATCACCCTCCTCACTCAGACACAGCGGAAGCTCTTATACAGTCCCGGTCCAGTCGGTTTCGGTGAGATAATGACGGATTGTGAGTGGTTCGACATGACGTGGGGCAGCAGCGCGAGCAGCGGATACTGCAGCCAGAGCGACTCCGAGCACGAGCTCGAGCAGTTTTACACCGCGCGCACCTCACTCAGAAAGACCAAAAAACGCAAAGACAAAGTAAGACAGTGATAAATTACCATACAAAATACTATATTAAGCTTAAATGTATATTATTTGTGCGTTTTGGATGGGCTTTGCTATTTTTACAGTCCATTTGGAACTGGAGAAACTGAACTTACGGATACGGATATCTTCGGCTCGGTGTGCCGACAATGCATGTGCGCAATCTGCGCATGCGTGGTTATTTTAAATGATGCTTGCATATACTTTCAAACTGTACAATAACGATTTAGTCATTTATATTATTATTAAAAATCGTAACATCATTTAATTTAATTAATAAATATTTTTTTAATATTTATTGTATTTTTTATATTTAGTTAATTAATTGTGTGGTGTGGTGTGGTGTGGTGTGGTGTGGTGTGGGGGGGGGGGGTGTTTCCTCTTACAATGATGTCATGCTGAGTAGCACTTAAAGTGAAATCAAATCAAAGCATCTGCAATATGTCCATGTCTCATTACATAGCCCATGATCGGTGTAAAGACTCTTAATTAAAACTTCATTACTATTTATGAAGCCAGCAATATTATTCAAAGATAAAAGTAGACCAGGTTTTTTTTTTTTACGTGACATCGCTGAAACATATATTGCTTGCTTATTTATTTAGTAGTATTTTTTACACACAAAAGAGAGCCATAATGCTCCAAATTGTACATTATTGGTGGAGTCTGTCTTATGAATTTATAATTTGTAAATTAATTTTTAAAATATGCATTAATATTTACTTAAAAAGCAGTATATTTATTATATATTTATTATCTTAAATATTTAATAACTACTTAAATTAACCAGTTGATAAATATTTAATTCAATTTATATGGTAGAAAAAATAAGAAAACTTTATATGAGGCGGTCTCGAGTGTAGGAAACAAATTTTCCCACAAATTTGGGAAGAAATCATACTTGTTTTGAAGTACTAGAGTTAATGGGGCAGAATGAAAATCTGTTCATTCCTTGCTCACATTCAGACGCATTTGAAGTCTACATGTGTGTATGAGTGAGTGTGGAACAATGTGTGTGTGTGTGTGTGTGTGTGTTCCCACTTCCTGTCGGCTATTTCTGGATGAGGGTGGGTGTTTTCCTGTGTCCCGTGTCAGTCTGTGTAAGTTGTGGGTAAAGGCATCCAGCTGGATCTGACAGTATTTGAAACCCACTTTCTGTCTCAGACTGCGATAGTTCTGCTGTACAAACACAACCAGCTGATGTTGTTAAATATAGTTACTCAGTCACATAAAGTCAGGCCGTTTTTTTGTCAAAGTACTTATAAATCTGATTCTTATTGGTTTGTATCTCAGAACAACCCATAAAATCTGTGTTTAGGAATCGGATGAACTATAAAATTCTTATAAACTAGGGATACGTCAGCCAGAGTCGCTTGAGCTTTCTTTGCCTCCCCCTTGTGGTCACGTGATGCATTACACACTTTCCTGTCCTCTGTCCTGCAGGATGAGCCGGTCGACTGCAGGAAACAGGAGCTGTCTGTCACTGAAATACAACAGAAAGTGAAAGAATACAACGCTCAGGTCAACAGCAACCTCTTCATGGTTCTGGTAAGAAAACCTGTCGGTCTCGATTTATGTAAATCTATCAAATTTTGCTGATTTTAATTTTACAATTTGATATATTATCAAATTTATATATCTTTATGTATGTGTGTGTGTGTGTATAAAAAAATAAATTGTATACATTATTTTATTAAAAATAATTATGCAATTATAGTAATATAGAATATTATCTATCTATTATAATATTATATATAATTTATATAAAAATATATAATTTAATTTAAACAATAGTGTTATATATATGTCGATAATTTATACTGTGTAATAATATTAATAATTAATATATAATAAATTAATGGATAAATTAATTTATTTGTAATTGTATAATATAATATATATATATTGTTGTTCTATATCTATGTATGTTTTGCTGTTTACATAAAAATCATAATAACATTACAATAACATAACAATACACATTATATTATATTATATATCTATAAATGTATTAGTGGTGCTTGCATTATAATTATAATAACACAGCATAATAAATATAATGATATATATTATAATATTATTATATATATTTATGCTTATTAGAGGTGCTTGCATTATAGTAATTTTAATTGCACATGTATATTATTATAGTATTACATTTATTTATATATTATTGTATTATATTTATTTGTGGTACTTGGCATTTGGACAAACCCCTAACCGTAACTATCAACTTCAATGTGTAACTCAGTGTGATTCTTTTCTTGTCCTCGTCATCAGAACCGTGATGGATCTTACACTGGCTTCATAAAGGTCCAGTTTAAGCTGGCCCGGCCCGTGTCTCTCCCTCCTTCACGGAGCACGTCCTCCTCCTCGGGATGGGACTGCACTGAAGCACTGCAGCACCGCACCTCATTCTACCTGCCCAGAGACACGGTCAAACACCTGCACATCAGCTCCAACACACGGGCCAGAGAGGTCATCGAAGCACTGCTGAAGAAGTTCACCGTGGTGGACAACCCGGCCAAGTTCTCTCTGTTCGAACGCAGCGAACGGCAGAATCAAGGTGGGGAGAAGAGCATATATACTTTTTGACATTGATTCTTATCAAGTATCAAATTTCCTATTATCTTTCTTTTTTCAGTGTACTTAAAGAAGATTGCGGATGATGAATGTCCGCTTTTCTTGCGTCTGTGTGCTGGACCCAACGAGAAAGTCCTCAGTTTAGTTCTTAAAGAGAATGAAACAGGAGAAGTTAATGTGAGTAAAGGCCCTTCTGGCAGTCGCCGTCTGTACGTGGTCATCAAAGTTTTCTTTATCAGAAATAATACAAATGTTAAAATATCCTAAATTGTTTTAAAAGGTATATACACATATTTGAGGTACAAGTATTCACGATATTGTTGGCTTCTTCTGGCAGTGGGATGCGTTCAGTTTTCCCGAACTCCGGAACTTCCTGCGCATTCTGCAGCGGGAGGAGGAGGATCACGTCCGGCAGATCGTGCGGCGCTACGCCTCGGCACGAGACAAGATGAAAGAGGCTGTGAAGAACTTCAGTACGCCTGGCTGAAACAAGCTGCTTTTCATACCTCAGAAACAAGAGAAAAGGAGAAGAAAACGTACTAAGTACGCAGCTTATTACAGTTTGAATCCAAAGAGTGTGTGGAAGAACCCTTTGAGACATGAGAGGGTTGTAAATGAAAGAGAAATGCAGTGAGAGAGAGTAGCAGCGTGTGTTTAAGCGTGACTGATGAGCGTGAGAGGTGTGTGACGTTACACTGGAAGAAATGCTGCGGTCGTAGATCCAGTTGTGGAGCAACGTCTTTCCAGTGTGAGCGACAGATTATTGGTCGGTGGTGATTGCATATATCAATGCAGATTAAAGAGTATTTTAATCACCATTTGAACTTGTAATGGGAAAAAAGATTATTTTAAGTTTTTTAATATAAGTTTATATTAATATACCACCATTTAGTGATGCAATACTTGTGAGATATTGAAGGACCCATGTATATATTGGATATTTGTTGTAAATTTCTTTGAAATTAAATAAAAGTAAAATATTTTTCCCCTTTAAAATGACTATTTTTGTTGTGTGCAAGAACCATTAAATGACAAACACATTTCGTTGTTTGAAATATTTAATATGCATTATTGTGCATTTTATTATTATTAATAATTATATTTTAAATATATAAGTAGCTTTTAACGTTAAGTGAAAAGGAAAGCATTTAGGTTACAAGACAAAATGTTTTTAAATAACGTCCTCTATTTGATAGTTTACATTATGACCAACAACATGTAATTTAGAGAATACAGATTTTTCTTTAGCGGTCAAATTATTTGGGCTTGCATGTTTACTAAATTATATGCACAACCCTTTTTTTTAGTTATTTAGTCTGCTTTTTGACAAAAATGCAAACCATAAATTAAAGATTTTGATTAATGACTTTGTTCAAATAAAATAAAAATGATTGAAAAAAATTAATATACTAAAGACTTTTATTCTATAAAAAAAATCAAACTTTTATTCTATCCATTCTCCTCACCGAGCCAGTTCAATGTGTTTCCGGTTATAGCAGGAGCGGCTGAGAATGTCTTGATTCACTCTGATCTGCAGCGGTTCGTTTCTGACTTTACACTCTCAATAAATCTCTTCAAACCCGCATTAATTCGCATTATATCCGCTCCTCTGCTTCATTTGACATCAAGAGAATTTTCAAGTAAGTGTCATCATTATAAATATGAATAATATTGCGTTATAGACACAAACGTTGTAGGACATTATGGTGATGTTAGCAGTATTAGCACGAACGCTACATCAATTTAGACAATTGGAAAATAAAATAATTAAACTGAATGTTATTTTATTAATAATAATACTTATGTACAATCTTTTTAATGAATTAATAAAATAAATTTGACTCTTGTTTTTGCAAATGTTTTGCTGTCAAACACAATCTGTCTTGTTTTAAGATGCTAACGTTACATGCTAATGCTGAGGTGAAAATCTCTGTTACATAAAATATTGTTCAAAATGTAAATTTATTAAGAACGTAAAATACATTTTATATGGATTTTACTATAATCAAGTGTTTGACTTGGTGGGAAAGCACAGGTTACAGATTTCCCATGTCATAAAAGGTAGCCATATTTTATTACACTGACATTATCAGCCTCATTATGTCAATATTTAACAGTATGAGTCAAATAACAGCCTATTCTTTCTTCCTCCAGAGCTGTACGTCTGTCCCAAGTGTGACCCGACCAGGAGGAGAATGTTCTGCGGCCCATGATGGGTGGCAGCGGGTCTAAAGGTAAAGGGTACTGGCCGTTCTCTGGTTCGGTGGGTGGGGATGAACCTGCCAAAGACGGCCAAGAGCAGAGCCTGGCCAGGGTCCGGAGCATCCGAAATGCGACGCCTTTCGTGTTTACCAGGAAGAGGTAAATATAGCCACAGATCCTGGCATGCGGCTTTATTTCAGACAGCATAACTGAACCGCTGTGCCAGTTACATTAAGAGAAGGAACTCTCTTCTACTAAGAGAAGGTGCTCTGAAAAACACATTTTCTTGAGTTTCATTGCAGATTTCGAAAGTAATGTTTTCAAAGTATTTGAGTCATTGATGAAATTGAACCTTGAATGTTCATTCAACACACTACATAATATATATATATATATATAAACATATTTGTTCACAGAATGCCAAAACTGACCAATCAGAATCATATGGAAGCTAGTTTCCGCCACAGAATAAAAAATAAAAAGGTAATTGTGACATTTTATCTCACAAAAGACTTTTTTCCCTCAATTGCGAGTTTATATCTCACAATTCTTTATAACAACACTTTATAACATGCAATTTTATGCATGCGAGTTTATATCTCAATTCTGAGAAAATAAGTCCGAATGTAGGATATAAGCTAATAGAATAAGAGTAGAACTGTGAGATAAATATGTCATAATAATTACCTTTTTTATTCAGCGGGGGAAACAAGCTTCCATAGAATCAAGTGTTCCATTCACACAGAATGTTTTCTTTTCAAAACACGAGACGCAGAGTATTGAAACGAAAAAAGAACATGTAGAGCCGCCAGTAACATCTTTTAGCGTGCGAGACACTGTTAATCACGTCTATCTACTGAATGTTTACATAGAGAAACAATGGAAAAGCAGCACAGCGAAATTCAAAAATGCTTTCTTTGTTAACGTCTCCCTTAGGGTTGTTCTCATCAAGAACGATAACTAAAGTTTTAATAATCGTTCTAATTCAATGAGAATAGGAAGTCTACACCGCAACTAAAACGATAATCGGAATCCATCCGTTCGAGCATTTAAAGCTGCAGACAACAAAACTGCTGAGCGTGCTTGTAATAAACAGAACGTATCGTGCGTTGGTGTGGATGCTAGTTATCGTTATACTGATAGTTCTAGTTCTTGGTGTGACATTGTAAAAAGATTTTGATTGTTGCACATGTATGTGTTTTTTACATTTGTATTTATTTTGTGAAGCTCTTTGTACTACGATGAGGACGGCGACCTGGCCCACGAGTTTTACGAAGAAACGGTAGTAACGAAAAACGGCCGTAAGAAAGCCAAACTAAAACGAATCCACAAGAATCTCATACCTCAGGTTAGTAGTCAGCATAGGAATGTTTTGCTAACATTTTCTACATGTTTTCACTAGATTGAATTATAATAAGTCTTTGAATATTCATGATTACTAGAATGTTACTATTGGGAATTTTTCCGTAGGGAGTCGTCAAGTTGGATCACCCTCGCATCCACGTCGATTTTCCCGTTGTCATCTGTGAAGCTTGATGCCGTCGGTGACCTCCTGTGAAGATTCCGTCCTCCCTCATTTTCCTCCCGACCGCTGGATCCTGGACACGCTTGCTGTGTAGCGCCCCCGTGAGTTTGGGAGGGCTCGACGCGTGTATGTTGAATCCCGGCAAACGGGCCGCGAGATGCTCTGGCCGTCTGCCTGAGAAGAGGCTGAGGCCTGACAATGATGTCCTGACTTTTTTCGTTTCCTTGTAATCCTCCACATATACGTCTTGAAGACTATTATGGGCTGTACGGCCAAGACACTAAGTGTGGTTTGTATGAGTGAATGGCTGTTTGTTTGTTAGTATATGACCATAGAAATCGAGAATATTTAGCGATGTTTGACTTTTATCAGGAGCACATCATAAAGGACTTTGGAGAACCTTCTAGAACGTTCTGTTTAGAATTCTGAAGATGTTCTAGAAGCCCTCAGAAAGATCAGGTTGCATTTGAACGCTTTAATCGACGGGCATTGTATAACAAGCAGAGATTCGCAGATCGTCAGGATGCGATGTTCGTAGAGGTAATGCAGTTAGGGTTAGTACAAAATAAGCAAGTAAAACTACAGCCTGAATTTTGCATGTAGTTCATATAGACCTGATTCTGCTTTCTTTCCAGCCAGTAGGAGAGAATCAATGGCTGTTTACTGCGCTGTGATTTGTTTGTATGCTGATTGGATGATGGAATTGCTGCCGCTCCTTGATTGGACGGTTGAGGTACTGACTGACACAGTGCTGCCAGTCATTGTGAGAAGCCCTGCCCCCTCTCACTGTTCTGGCAGTCTTTATTTATTACAGTTGAAATGACCAGATGGCATTAAAGAAAATACCACGTATAAATGCATATCAAACTGTGTTTGTCTGTTAATTCGATATTAAAACTGAATATTTAGTGGGACACTGAACTGATTCTATCCATGTGGATTTGATTGAAAATGAGGGCTATGATTTTTTGTTGTTGTTGTTGTTCAACATGATCTTTTAAATTGATATATCATTAATATATTTATTGTCTAAAAAATAGTTTTATGATTTATTTCTACTGTTAAAATATTCCAAAAAATGCGATGCACAGGAAGTGACATCAGTTGGACTGGTCTGCAGCATGACATAATGGTAAGTAAACCTCATACCATTTTCCTTTTTTAATTTTTTTTTTTTTTATCACATTATTGATCGTATTTGTTGAGACTGACCATTCAACTCTGTTACTGAAGTTATCGCAAGATAACCTTTTTTTTTGCCCATAACTACAAACCAACATTTGATTTTATTATATCAAAAAATACAAATGAATAATATTTAAAAAATACAAATAGGTTGCAGGTTTTGCATATATTTAGTAAATTTTAATCTGAATTAAAGGGTTAGTTCACCCAAAAATAAAAATTAGCTCATGATTTACTCACCCTTAACCCATCCTAGGCGTATATGACATTCTTCTTTCAGACGAATACAATCGGAGTTATATTAAAAAATGTCCTGTCTCTTCCAAGCTTTAATATAATTGCAGTGAATGGCTGTTTCTGTCCATCAAAGTGCATCTATCCATGATAAAAGTGCTCCACACGGCTCTGGGTGGTTAATAAAGGCCTTCTGAAGTGAAGCAATGCGTTCGTGTAAGAAAAATATCCATATTTAAAACTTTATCGACTAAAATAACTAGCTTCCGGCAGACGACCGTACACATACTGCGCAAGTCGACTTTCGCCACAAGAGTAAAGGTCCTTGCACACGTCCGAAATTTTTGCACGTTAAAAATTAGATACAACCTCATGTTTTGTCAGTCACGTTTACACACCGCCTCCGAAACTTTCGTCCATGATAAAGAAATTCGGATCAGGTTCGATTTTTTTGCATCCGTAGCAAGCATTTTGAATGGTGTTTTGACAATTCAGAGCCACCGAATGACGAAAAAAAAAAAACCTTGTAGCCAGAGCTACTTCTCTCTGTTTATTTCTATGACGAGTCACACAGAGACTGGGCTACTCCACAGTGGTACGACCCGTACCAGTCTAAAATAGTCAGAATATAAACACTTGTAATAGGTGTACCGTAGTTATTCAGGATAAGACAAAAACACAGTTTGAAAAATGAATTCATGATGTACTCGCTTATTTATATACATTTTGAACACAAAAAAGGTTACGGATTGCAGTTTTAAATCTAAATCTACTTTGTAAATTTAGCAGTATAGAAAGTAAATGGGGTTCATGTTGATTTAATGTGGTCGTCTAGATTTTGACATTATACCTGCTGAATATTTACCCTGTTGAACCAAAAGGAGCTAAACCAATATTTATGGGTTGTGTGTATTTGTCTCCTCTGTTTAGTTTTAAGTTCCATCCACAACACGACAAAATCAAATATTGTAAGCCATTGTGTCTCTTAGTTGACCGTCTTTTCCTCCTGCAGTGTGTCCTCTAGTTGAACTCTTGTTCTTTCCACAGATCTGAACTCCACCGTTGCTTTGGTTCCTTCATCTAACATCCACAAACAAATGACCAGACAATGTTATCTTCTACTGTTGGAATCATTTATCATTACAAGGAACGTTTTCCAGCGTTCTGGATCCAGCGTAATCTCTGACCTGGACAAAGGCACTTGAAGAAAAACAGGACATTCTTCTGAACTTGAGTGAAGCTGAATTATTAGGTTGTTTACCAAGTCAAACATCTCTATTATGGTTTATTCTTTGGGTTAGTGATTTAAACAAACTACTAACACTAAGTATTAAACTTTGCAGTGCAAATCGTCTACCACAATTTGTGCTACGAATGATTTCTTCTAAGTGGTCTAACTTCCAGATGATAAAATGAGCAAATAAATCTCATCATATAGGCTTGTGGTAGGGATTTATTGAGTCAGGCCAGAAAACCATCTAGCAACCATTCAGAACCAGCTCGTTACCTCATAGCATTGTGCTAATAACCCCTCATAACACTTTAGCAACAAAATAGCAAGAAAGTGTGAATATCTTGTTGACCAAATTGTGTATGACAGAGATGTCATGATTATAACTGCTGTAGGAATCTGCATTCCATATCCATGATTCCGTCTTTAAGGAACCACGGTCTCACACCCACCCAAAATCCTAATTGGGGCTTTTATTCCCGCTTGGTTTTCTGAAGACTAGCTGTGATTTCCTTGGAGAGGCCTAAATGAGCTGTAATTGTTTTAGCTGGTGTGCCTGGAGACTTGTAATCTTTATCATATGAGTTACTCAAACTGCTTCAGTGCATATGAAACAACTTTATATCCCAAATCTGCAATCAAAACTCCCACGTTAAAGTAGACTCATCACTCATTTCAGCTGTGCAGCTGCATTTAGCATTTAGCATTAGCAGAAAGTTCCAATGGCTTCTAGGTTAGATTTGCATTAAATTCCAGACCAGTGTTATAGTGTGCGCAATACTTGCTGTTATGTACACTTGGTATGTTTGTAGTTGAATACTAGCATGCTATTCATGATATTTTGTAGTATGCTAATTATGTCATAATTGCCATAATTCTGCACATATGTTGGGTGGAAATGGATTGAAATATGCTAAAATGTGTTAAATTAAGCTAAGTGTGCTACATTTTTATTGGTATATGAAAGCATCATTATACAGTATAGCCTACACTGTGTAGTGTGCCAGACTGTTCTGACAAGAACATTTATTTAAAAAAGTTGCAATTGCATACAAATTTGTATGACGTGATTCGTAAGAAAGCGGTTTGTAATAAAATTTTATAAAGCTGCACCCATTTGTAACCAATTTGCCTAAACGTAAAACAATTATGAATTGTCATGAGACTGTGTTGAGTGTGTAGTATGCTAGTGTTTCATTCTTTCGGATTACTGGACGCCTCTCTTTTTTTGGTATGCGGCGTGCTTGATTTACTCTGTGACTGCAGTATTATGCTATCATTCCATTTTGCACAATTACTGGACACCCCTCGGTGTATTAAACTTGCAATATAGCGAAGTCATGTAACAACGGTGTAGTATGCTGAATTCATAATCGCATACTCTCATTATTTCTGCCATAGAAAGATGTGCTAAAACTAGTATACTAGTACGCGGTTCTGAATTCAGCACCTCTCAATGGGCTGCTGTATCCCACAATGTAATGTGGTTGATTTGACCTTTGACGGGATATCAACCTTTTTGACTTGGGCTTATGAAGTAGAGTAGACCACTATCAGTGAAGACCTTTTTACACAAAAGTGGATTTAAGATGCAAATTATATTAAAACTTATTTCAGAAATGATACATGGACATCTCTCACTGTAGTATGCCATTTTGGAAGAGCATTCTTCCATACTATTTCTGTATTATATAGTATGTATGTTGTTACGACTGAAGCATTTATCATTGCATACTGCATACTATTTCACATACTATTTAGAAGAGTACTAGGCAGTTTGCTAGTATTCTATTCAATTGTACTACAAATGGTTACATATATTATTTTAATAATATGTAGTATGCAATATTCCATTGGCCAGTTGCATAAACAGTCAGTATGTCAAGACTGACCAACTAGCAGTTAGCAAAGGGCAAGCAGTCTTACTTTTCAGTGTCCAAATTAGACCAATCTATGTTTTTTATCTAACTGACTTAAAAAAGTTATGAACAGTCTTGAAAAAAAAAATGTAATGACTAATCAGTCTTGATGACTAGTCTAAGCAGTTTATGCAACAGTATGCCATTGCGAACATATAGCCATTGAGAGTGTGTGCAGGGTTGATCCATCAATCCAGGCTGGTCCTCTATTTAATTGCTTTCAGATGATTTCCAATAATTTAAACCTCAGGCTCATTAGGCAACTGCGTTCATGTATTTCAAATATTTACCCATTCAAACAGGAATGTTCCAAACTCTCAGTTGTGCCGTAAATGTTTCTTTGGCCTATAAATTTTGCTTTACGGCGAGTTTGTAACAGAAAACAAGCATCCCCCAAATGTCTCTTTTTTCGTAATGGTTTTGTTTAGAAAATTTAACGCAACCATTTTCAATGACATGTCCTTGGGCACCATGACGGTTCTCCCGTGGTATTGACGCACGGCAGCCGAATTCTTGCTGTGCCAGGAGTGACCTTCCTTCCCTTTCGAACAGTCGCATGTCCTGACCAACAGAGTCATGGGCTGATTAAGAGGAATACTCATCCCGTTCACTAACACAGGAAACACAGGTCAGTGAAAGTGTGTGTGACTTTAATTAAAAAGATATCTCGCTCAAAACTCATATTTTAGGGCAGAAATGTTTGGCCAGTCCATTACAATCATGCATAACAAGAAGTATTTGTGTTTACATATTTGATTTGGGTTTATTTTAGGATATACTAGTTGACTGAAACACATCCCTCTTTTCATGGAGCTCAGAGGGAGCTATTTAGCCAAATGTCCAGGCTGCTTTTCTCCATACTAAAACAAGATGATAAATAATTGAAATAAATAAATCTTAATAACAATAATTCATTATTAGAAGTAATTGTTGGGTGCAATATTACTTTAAGAAACTAAAAATGACCAGTGGTTCTTATATGTCAGTTTCTGGACAGCATGTGTGCTTATAATCAGATTTAAGTGTTTTTCTTATCCATTTTTCAATAAAGCTCCATGTTATTGCTGAGCTCTGGGGTTTTACAGGCTCAATCTCTCTTGTTTTTACTTACAGGTCTCTGTTCTTTGCTTTCTCTGCAAAATACCCAGAAAGTCGTTCCTGAGTCAGCAGAGAAGAGGAAACAAGAGAAAGGCAGTTCAGCTTTGTTTACTGGCTTCATCAAACACGATGATCGCTTCGCTCAGATATTGGAGGTCAGTTATCGATCTTCTCATTAGCGAAGGCAGAGCTGATTGATTTGTACTCTAGGATTCATCACTCTAAACAAGCCTTTCAGACTCCACTGATGTCATTGTTTTAGCAGTGAGCTAAAATTTGTTTTGGAGCTTTTGTGCTATGGACTAGCCTGGCTAACGTCAGACCAGAGATGCTTTCAGGAAAAACATTTGCATTGAGATCGAGTAAAAACAGCTGTGCGACAGCTGAGTACTTGCATTTATGCTATGTCTTTCGCACTCACGCAAAAAAATTCAAGTTGATTATTATTGAAATTTCTTGATTTCGTCTCTAAATATGTGCAGAATAACGCTAAATGTGCCTTACCTTTGCTGCCTCTTATTCGTCTTCCTAAGTGGTTTTGGACTTATTATATATCGACACCTAATGGTGTAAGTGCATTGTTTTTACTTTAATAATTCGTCATAGGATCTCCATGAAGTACCAATTATTTTTCTTACCTTTATCAGACACTTTTATCTATAGTGCATTGAATGTACATGTTTTTTTCATTATTTGTGCCCCCTGGGAATGATACCCTTAACTTTGCTAGTGTCATGTTCAACTATATAAGAACTATTCATTTCTTTAGCTATAAAACTTTTTAATTAGCATTCTCGTATTTATCTCCTCCACCATCTCCCATTTCATCACTTTCGCAGTGATTTATTACTCTTGTAACTTCAGTTCTGCTTGGAGTCTTCTAGATCCCCTTGGCAAGCAGAACCAGGGGGTGCCTGGGGTCTCCTGCAGGGGCTGATCTGAGACCAGTCTAAACCACTCAAATCCAATCCTTTATCACGGTAGGATCAAAAGTCTGGCCGGGTGCCCAGGGGGTGAGACGGGCAGGAATGTAGGAGGTACAAGAGTGTGGGCTCTCCAAGTTCAAAACTAAATACACAGCCGCTTTAAGAGAGACTCACAGTGACAGGCGAGCTGAAGCACGTGTACATCTACATATAGAGAGAAAACTGAGGACATCTGTCTGCTGAGAAAGAGAGAGACAATCTTTAAGTACGGTGAGTAGGAGCAAGGGACATAGAAAGTGTTCATTTAAACAACTTTTCAGTTGAAAAATGTTAAATATTAATGCAAGTAATTGTTTTGGAGTAAACTACATTTTAAAAATAATATATGCAGTGCAGTAATAGTAATATGGATATGGTCAAATATGGACATGGTACAAATATACAAATTCAGTCATCATTTACTCACCATCTTGTCATTTCATATGATTGTCCTTCTTCCATGGAACGCAAAAGGAGATGTTTGGCAGAATGTCCAGGCTGCTCATGGCCTTATTGAGGGAATTGAGACTTGAGCTGTAAAGCTCCAAAAAAAAAATTTGGAAAATACCATAAAAGTGGTCTATGACTTAATATTTATAAGTCTTTTAAAGTCTTATGATTGATTGATTGATTGATTGAAAACTTTATTGAACAACAACAATCAACATGAAGTGTTCAAAAGGATAAAACACAAAAAGCCCAAAGGCTTGTTTCCATTGTGGTCCTTAAGATGGAAGATAAGTGACAATACATGAATTAAAAACATTGAGAACAATAAAGAAAGGGGACAAAAAAATACAAACAAAGTAAAACAGATAAAAACACAATAAAAAGAACAAAAACAAGGGCTAAATTCCCAGATAGACGCAAGCAGACACACAAGCGGACAGTACAGTATTCCTACTACTTCAAGGATTTCTATTTCTTTGCGGTCAATTTGATCAATTTGTGATCAATTTGTGTGAGATTTTGTGTGTGTCCAGGATTTTCTGTCATCATAGTTGTGAAATCCCATTTACGCTTCATCATGTTGCACTGAGTTTAATGTCAATGATGTTAAGGCTATCATATGGCTTCAGAAGACTTGAAATATAGATAACCTGTTGTATGGATTACTTTTATGTAGTTTTTAGACCTCAACACCTCCAGTCCCCATTCACTTTCATTGTACTAGAAAATATTGACCAGTTAAATTTTTGGGTGAATGGTTCCTTTAAGCCATGATTAGTGTTATTTGTAGCATCATTACTGTACTTTCTTATTGTTTATTAATATTTTGAATTAGTTTTAATTTTATATTTTCAGTTTTCATTTGTTAAAGTTTCGATTATTTTATTGTTTTAACTTATTTTTTATTTTTATTTCAGTTTTAGTCGTTTTAGTCATTTTACTTCAACTTAAAATAAATGAAAATTTGAAATTGTGCATTCGCAATTAACTGAAAATACATTTGTTTTATATATTAGATTTTTTTTTCTGTTAACTACAGTTTTAGTTTTAGTAACAGCAGTGGCCTTGACAAGATGCGAAAGAAAGTATTTAAACATTAAGGAACAAACACCTGTCAGAGTCAGATGGCGAGTTTTTTTTTTAACCTCATGTAATTAGACATTAGCAGTGAAAATCACTCACAGCTGTAAGATCTGCCCTCTGTTTATAAGAGGCTGTAAGGGTCTGTGTTGGCTCTTACAGTCCGGTTATTAGTACAAGATGTGTTTTAGGATTGAAGTATTCTGCCCAGAGCGGGGACACAGAATATCTGCCTCCTGCTGTGGTCAGAAGCAAACAAACACACGGCTTTCGTCATTTGAGGGACAAATGCACTCAAAGTACTCGCCAATGCGCGTACATGAATATTTTTAATTCTCAATGAAGTACTGAAACTGTCCTAATACCAATTGTGATGTTTTCGTGACATCTGCCCTTCAAAGGAGACATCAAAGGTGACCCCTTTGGTCTCCAGCTGTGGGTGGTTTTCCTTCTATCCGCCCCCTTCACTTTTCCTGCTAATGCAGACCTCAGTACTCCTATAGAAGTGACCGCAACTTGTCATTATGCCCATCTTCACTGTAACACATGGAAACGGGGTCTCTCTGGGAGGCCTTTATGTTCTGTAGGCATCCTATAGAGATTCGTAGTTTGAGCCTGAATAAGCTTTTGTTCTCGCCTGTGACCCCAGATCCCTACAAACATTAGCATCCGTAAAGAGCAAGTGGGTTACTCGCAGTTAAATGTGTTTGCGCGCAGTGGACTGGGATATTATGAGGTCCTAAGGTTGTTGCATCCTTCCGTTCAGTTGGTTCATTCGTGTGTACGTCATCAGTTTCAGGTGAGTCAGCACACAGGATGATCCCCAATGCCACAGGAAACAGCTCTTCCCTGCAGTCAGCTGACTTCCTGCCTAACAAAGGTTAATGCCAGACAGTTCCACCAACACTACAGTGTTGTGCAATGCCATTTTTGGGGCTTATTTACAGTTTTAATGCAGGCCTACTGTTTAAAAAGTTAATGTTTAAACTCATTGCTAATCTAGTTCTTTCACAATCACAGGGCAAATTGACTCAGCTGTATTTAAGCTTTCCCAATCATGTAGTGTATTAAGATCTATTAGAATTTATCAGTGTAATGGAATTCAAAAAGTACCATGGTATTGCCATGGTACATGATCAGAAACATGGTACTAACATGATACAAATGTCAAAAACCAGGTAGGCTACAAACTTGGTAACGTTAGCGTGTTAAAAAACAATGTAATATTACCTCAGGTCTTTTTGCTAGACAGTCATACACTCTATTTTCATAGTTATGCCATGCCATAATAGGGCAAATAATAAATAAAACAAAGGAAGGAAGAGGCTGCTGAAAAGAGAAAATCTCATTCTTCGCAATGTTTTCGAAGTGAAATGTGATCTGTGTGTAATGGCTCTCGACTCCTGTAGGTCTCTCTCAGCTCGGTTGAGTCGGTTCAGTAGAAAAGCTTCTTCATCCCCAGCGGAGAAATACGGACGAAACCAACTCGCCATGTAGGGGGGGCCAGAGGGCACATTGTCGAGAACTCTGGTTTTACAGCCAAAACAACGACCTCGGTACCTTATATAAAAAAAATAATCTGTAATAATATGTCGTATCATATTGAGTGGTTGCAAAACTTTACATTAAAGAATAGCGATTTGCGTCATTTATAACAACTCACACCCTCTACCTACAACTATGTGCATCAGTCTGAGGGCCAAAATCCGCACACATTCAATCATTGATCCAGATGAGCCAGCTGAGCATGAGCGATACTCTCTGAACTCGTACGGGGCGTTTTAAGGCGTTCAAACAATGATCATAGACTGGGTTGTTTCGAAATAGCGTTTGGGATTTTATAGTTATGAGTTGTTTGCATCCGCTGGATAGATGGGTGGACGCTGCGTGGTGGTAGTTTGAGTGATCGGACCGGTGTGTTGAACGGGTTCAGTCCGATCTATACAGGTCAGTGTTTCCTCTAATAGATCACAGTTAGTTTGTGTAACAGTTCCTAGAAATAAAAGAAGAAGCGATTTTGTAACGTACAACTGTAACAATGAAACGAATCGATTGTTTAAAACAAAGTTTGAATGTTCCATAGAATCTTCAAAATGTGATTGTTTATTCTTTCCCTTCTTCTAGTTCGAGCGGCGTAACTTACTAATAATGCCGATTTCATGGGTTCGATTCCGAGGAAACGCATATACTGTTAAAATGTATATTTTAGAAGTATTTGATAAAAGTGTGGTGAATGTAAATGATCTCGTTTATTTCTATAAGTATAATGCAACAATGAATTAAACATGGCTAGTTCAATGGTTCTAGTGGATGTGATTATTTAGCTTTTTTTTTTTTTGTTGTATAGAAAATCATATTTTCTTTCCTTTTGAAAGTTCCTGGTAATCTTTCTTTTAATTTTTTTTTTTTTTTTTTTTTACTGTAGCTCAGCTGGTAGAGGATGGCACAAACAAAGCCATTATTATGGTTTTGATTCCCAGGCAACACCTGTTGTGATAAAATGTGTATTATAAATGTAGTCAATTGTGTTATGATAAAAGTTTGCAAAATTCATAACTGTTAAAGAACTTAGTTACGTGTGTAAAAGCATGTATAAAGTAACGATATTTGAACATACTTTAGGATATATGTAGTATTTTATTAATTTTAGTGGTTTTGTGTATTTTTAGGTCTGAAATGAGGAACATCACGCGTCTCTTTGGGACGACCCGACCTGAATGGGTCTCCTGTCTACAACTATTGTTTTTGATGCCCTTTTGGACCTGTTTAAAAGCACAGCAGTTAAAAAACACTAGATGGCCACTGTATTCTGGTAAGCCTTTGCTGTTGGCCTGGAACGCTCCTACTGAAGACTGTAGACCTCGACATGATGTCAAATTCCAGTTGGATCAGTTCCAAATAGTGGCGTCACCAAATGAGGGCTTCACCAAGCAAAATCTCACCATTTTCTATCATGACCGTTTGGGATTGTACCCATACTTTGAGGCAGACAGCACTGCAGTCTATGGTGGCCTTCCACAGACCGCCAGTCTCACGCAACACCTAGAACGGATGTCGGAGGGGCTCAATAAGTATATCAAGGACCCGACAGCCAAAGGTCTCGCTGTGATCGACTGGGAAGAGTGGCGGCCCCTCTGGAAACGTAACTGGGGCACTAAAGACATTTACCGCGAGCGTTCAAAACAGTTAGTCACTGAGAAAAATCCAACTTGGTCTCCGGATCAGGTGGCCAAAGTGGCCCAGCAAGAGTTTGAGCTCTCTGCAAGGAAGTTCATGTTGGAGACTCTTCGATTGGCCAAGAGCTTATGGCCCCAACAGCTTTGGGGGTTCTACCTTTTTCCTGACTGTTACAACCACAATTACCAAAATAACCAGAACTACACGGGACGCTGTCCGGATGTGGAGGTCTCCAGGAACGACGAACTGAAGTGGCTGTGGACGGAGAGTACAGCTTTGTTTCCTTCCATATACATGGGAAAACCGCTGAAGGACAAACTGTCCGGGCGGCAGTTCGTACGGAACCGAGTCAACGAGGGCATGAGGTTGGCGTCTGTTGGGAACGGGTCAGCCAGACCTGTTTTTGTCTACACACGGCCCACTTACCTAAGCACTACTCCAACTTCTAACGGCAACTCTCCTGAACTCCTGCTGCTGACAGAGGTGAGATTCCTGTAATGGTGTGTTTCTCCCTGTGTGGAAGTTTGATTTCCTTAAAAAAGGGGTGTTAATACTGGACCACTGTGGGCGCCTCTTTGTTAAAGTTGACCTGTCCTGAGTGCACTATAGTATTCTGGTCAACACCCTGGTTTGCTTGTTCTGATTGGAAAAAAAACAACAACTTTTAATCCGTTTCGGAGCTAAAGCATTTGTGATTTTGCAGTCTTAGTATGAATGCCTCATAACATCGATTTCAATGCTTATTGATTAATCATATCATGCCTAGTTACCTTAACTCTGTTCACACAGACAGCTCAGCAGGTCACATGACGCGTCTGGTTCGCTGCCACACTGAGACATCAGTAAAGCTGTTCTTGAAATCTAGACTAATTCTGGTCTGTCTAAAGACTGAAGATCACATGACGTCTACTGGACGTGTCTGTGCTTCAGTGTGGTGCGAGTGTTTGTGTTTGTAGGGGAATGACTGAGGTTTGGGGTTCGTCAGACGTGTGGAGAGTCTGAGCACTGCCAGGTATAAAAGTACAAGCCAAGGCACTTTTACAAGCGTGTCTGTGAGAGAAACACCACGCTTTAGCTATAAAACTATTAGTGGAAGACGTTTCTTGAGACATTTGAGTCTTAATTCATCACATGACTTGTATTAACAGCCTTATATTAGACAGGAATTTTTCGTGAGAATAAACTGCGCTGTAAAAAGTCACACTAATTCAAACATTTAGAAATCAAAAATATTTATTCTGTCTTTTAACTAAACATACTGTTGCTGCTGAATACCATGAACAAAAATCACTAATAAACTAGACTGACTAATATAAATGTCAAACATTATTACAACAAGTAAACAAAAAAAAGTGACTAATACAATAAGAACAAATAAACACATTAGCAATAGCACAAATAAATACATTTGAACAAAGTTCAGAAATTAAAATCAAATGTAAAATAACACTGAATGGTTTTCTTTAAAAAAATAAAAAATAGATTAATCCTTAATAATATTACTAAAGTTATTCAGTTAAAATCAGTGAGATTTTTATTAGTCTTTTGTTCTTTGATTTACATTAATGACACAGACAGCAGCGGGTATATTAGGCTGTCGTCACTTTAAGACCGAATGCACTGATCCAATATATTTTCAGTTTAAGCGCAAGAAGACGATAAAGAGAACTCTATATGAAAGGCGTTTTTTGTGGTGCGCACACTCTGATTGTGGCCAGCACAGAAAAAAGCACGCCAGTGCCACATTGAGTTCTCTTTTGCGTCGTCTTGCACTTGAATGGTACGGTGGCCGAGAGAGCTCAACGCGCTGCAACTGAAGAAAATGCATGCAAATAGAAGAAAACACATGCAAATAGAAAACAACGCGTGCAAATAGAAAAAAACACATGCAAATAAAATAAAACGCATGCAAATAGAAAAAAACGCGTGCAAATAAAAAAACACCCGCAAATTAAGAAAACATCTTCATCAGTTTCACAACACACGTGTGCTCCAAATACTCACAACACCACCAAATACATAAACGCGCTGCAAATAACACAGAGCACAACGGAAATGTTTCCAGGGGAACCAAATAAGTGACGAACCCGGCTGGGACGTGCTGGCATATCCATAAATCTATGCGTGCTGGTGCTTACAGCTTAAAATTATACTTTTTTTTATTTGTTTATTTATTTATTTGTTTGTGCAAAACATACAGAGATTACATTTTTTTATGACATACAACTTGTATACAATGTACAAAATGTATTAACAATATGTTCAATGTCATCAGAATACAAATGAGAAAAGAACAATGAGCTGGAAACTAAAAAAAAAAAGAAAAACATGAAGGAAAGATATTTATCTATACATCAGTTACACTGTACAAATTGTTTCGTAAGAAATGTTAGGTAATGTAGGGTCCAAAATTTTAAAGTTGAGACACAGAAATATAACGCATATTTTAAAAGCTTTTTTTGTAAAATAAAAATAAAAATGTATTTGCATCCGTTATGTTAACAGCATCATATTTCTGTCGTAAGACCAGCTGATGGACACCGTGCTGCGTTGTCATGGGGACATCCCACGTTGTCTTTAGTTGCTCCCTTCATCAAGTGCGTTCCACACGGCTGCCTAACAGCACACTAGAGCCTTGCTCACTCCAAAAGGGCTCTGCAATCTCCCCTTCGAAGGGAGTATGGCATAGAGGGGTTTCACCAACGTCACGTTCTGGGCGGTAACCCGGATGCGCGGCCATTATGGAGGCACTCGGATGTAAACAACAGCATGAATTGCACTGTTCATGTACTACTGAACACATTGTTACACTAATAAACCACGGAAAAAAACACGTGGTAGGTGCGAAATCATATAGAGAAGGACTTGGGAAGCAGGAGAGAGCGCAACATTTTGACAAACTAAAGTTAATATGTTTTATGTGGTCACATTATGTGGTAGCTGCTAAAGATCCGAACGAGTTAGCTTCTCTAGCACGTAACATTACTGCAATTCTTCCATCTATTTAGTATCCCGAAATAAGATACGTTCAGATTGTCAGTCCAAAAAAGCACAAGAAATTCGTTTCAAGTTACATCCATATGTGGTTTGAAATCCTATTCAAATCACATATCAGGACATCAGCCTCAGTCTGAACGATCGGATTTCGCGTGGTATGTCTTAAAATGCAAACGTCATTTATAGGAAACATGCTGAAAGTCACTGCCGAAACAATGCTGTGTTGTTGCAAAGTGCCAGACGAGCAGAAAAGTACTACCGGTATTTCTGAAACCGGCGCAGACGAGCGTGGGAAAAAAGCAGTAACGTTACATACCAGCCTCCTACAGTTCTGCCGTAGTAGTCCAGCGCGGCGGCTATACACATTTCCATGTTGTAACATTTAAAAAAGACAACATCTAACTTTATATTGCAAATGCAACCCCTCCATCAACGCAAAGTCATTGCCATATTACCAAATAACATGCATGGACACACACGTCGGATCTGAACAGTTGCGATACACAGTGTGGACATCATTTTAGATCAGATTCCAATTTGATACAAAGATAATCGGATTTGGACTGACAGTGTGAATGTAGCCATAGTTAACTACGTCGACATTTTAGCCATAGTCAACGCTTCATTTACACCTGTCTGATGATGTACTACCTCTCTCAACCACAAACGCCTTCTTTCGTCAGTTTTTTGCACTCTTCTCTTTAACTTTTGACAGTCTATAGCACTCGACATGTTTTTTCCCGATGTGACCGATTGGTACAGACAAAAACTCGACCATTTTTCAGCAGCAATAATCAGCCAAATTTGCGAGTCCATTCAGTTCAGTGGCATTATTTACGTTCTGTGCCTCCAAAATGGCCGACTTCCGGATTGATGACGCGTCGTGAAACCCCTCTATAGGGAAGCTCACGAGCAAGCACGTCTCGGCCGGGTTCGTCACTTATTTGGTTCCCCTCGAAACATTTACGTTGTGATCTGTGTTATTTGCAGCGCGCTTTCTGTATTTGGTTGTGTTGTGAACTTTTGCAGCGCGTTTCCTTATTTGGAGCACACGTGTGTTGTGAAACTGATGAAGATGTTTTTTTAATTTGCAGGTGTTTTTTTCTATTTGCACGCGTGTTTTTCTTTTTGCATGTGTTTTTTTCTATTTGCATGCGTTTTTTTCTATTTGCACGCGTTTTTCTCTATTTGCATGTGTTTGCTTCAGTTGCAGCGCGTTGAGCTGTCTCGGCCACCGTAGAATGGTTTAAAACCACATTAAAATGCGCACACAGGAATCGGTAAGCGGAATCCATTTTTATTATATAACAATAATTATCCGATTCTAGAATTGGAATCGATTTTCTATTCTATTCCAAACCCTAATCAGTGGCATGTCTCCTTTGTTTACCATGCTGAACTGCAACACACCAACACGTGAGGAATTGTGATGTCAGCAACAGATTTACAAACTAACAGTTGATTGGACAGCTACTCTTACATGAAACGCATGCAGAGCATATCCATCGACAGAAGCATACTTTATAGGAACTCTGTTTTTTTCCCCAAGCCATATTATAGATGCCTTGTCAGATTTTACATTAACCGCAGTATACCGGTAAGTGTGTGTCGAACCATGGGTTGAGAACAGTACGGTTCAAATTAAAAAAGTTTCACCCCTAGTTTCACAGAGTAAGTCATTTATTTATCAAGAGTTTGGATCAGTGTCTGTGGAACGAGAGGTGAAGTATTTCAACAAAAGCCAATTAATGAAAGAGTGATTGTCTTTTATCAGTGACATAATGAAAGGGCGAAGACAAAGTGTGTGCTCAAGAAAGAGAAGAATAAACTCTTTGTCTTTCTTCGCCGATGTCACTTGCCACAAATAGCAAAACGATTGACAAATACGCACTCGGACAAACTATTCACAACACTCTCAAGAGCCTCAGTGTTTGGAGTTTATTTTGCTGATGGAATTATTTGTCTTTTTCCATTTCTGACGCATGAAGTGTTATCTAAAACACGTGTTTTGTTTTCTGATCAGATCATAATATTTGCGTTCTGATGAACTGATTTCTTTCTGTCTTCTCTTTGCACAGATGGATCTGGTGTCGACTATCGGCGAAAGCGTGGCGTTGGGTGTAGCGGGCGTGATCCTCTGGGGTGACTCCAACTATGCTAGTAGTCAAGTACGTTTGTGCTCTTCATCGTCCATCTCACCATCTTCACATAAATTGACTTTAGGGATTAACCTATGATTATTAAAATTCAGGGTGAAATATAAGGAAGGGATCATGTACAAAGAGTCGATTATCCCAAAATATTCCCA